CCGACCTAGGACCGATTCCATTCTCATATTTGCTAGATTAATTATTTATTTTCAATTTCATCATCTTTGCATTTTCATCATTTATTACTAGTTTTAGTTATTTTTTTTGTTCTGCTAGTAGTTTAGTTTTAAATCAAAATCCCCCCCCTTTTTATTTTTACCTAATTAATATAATAAAATCACGGTTTATACCACACTCCCTGTGGGATCGACCCTTGCTCATCACTACTACTTGTTGGTAGGGGTAAGTCGAGGAAAATTTTTATAAATATAAATTTGCCGCGTTGCGACGCGCGGTCACTATCTAATTGTGCCAGAATTATAGCCTTATTCAGACATTTTATGAAGACAAACTTTGTCAAAATTTATTTAATATAAACTTGATTTGCTTAAATTTAATAACAATGTTTAAAAGAGAGTAAGTACATGGCCATTATCGTCGTGAAAAATGCCACGTGTAAAGTCCCTAGCAAAAGAGGGTTGAAGTCATTTTGTGCATACACAAAAGATAAAATTTAGATGCTTCTTCGTATTTGAATGCACAGAACTATTCCATTTCAAAGTGCTCATTTATGGCAAAAACAAAGGGCTGTCGAGTACTTCTTCCATGTTGTGATAAAGAAGACACATATTGAGCGAGCTTTGCTGGTAAGGATTTTATATTCAATATTAGAATGCCAGTAAATTGTAAATTGTGTGAATTTCAAAACATTAATATCATATTACTTCTTTCAATTTTTAGCCAATTTCAATGCTGCTTTGGAGGGGAAAAAATACAACCTTTCCACAGCCAAGCAACGACAGTCATACTAAGGGTTGGGCACTACTGACTATGTCATGGATATAGTCACGGTGTGGGAAGGAGGAAATGCAGGGTCATAGATGTCGTAACTTTATAATCGTAAACAACATCGTTGAAGGCTCTGTTTGTGAGTTTACGCTAATAGCACATGATGGAATTGAAATAATTGCTTTTAAGGTTGACCTTTGTACAACTTTGTTGTACTTAACAGTAAATATTAATCTTTTGATTTTCAACACTGCTTTTCAAATATTGTGTTCAAACAAAAAAAGAATTATTAACGCATTTATAAATAGGTAAATATCTTATTATATTATTGCATTGTATAACTCTTTATTCATTGTTAGTTATTTGAAGCTAGATTTATAAATGCCATAAAAGGTGGGTATATATTTTAAAATTTTCCCGAGTATTAGTTATAATGATAGATTGGACTAGGGCCGGCTGTGCGTGCACAGCCACCGGGCCAACTAGTATATATATATAGGATGATTTTATATCTTAAAACAGAGAAAACGTGAAAGAAATCAATTCCAAAAAGATATTTTCTTTTTCACCAAATAAAGTAAGGTAAATTAAAAATCACAAAATGTACACATCTCAATACTAATTAAGCCCTGTCACATAGAGGTGTTTGCTCTCAGTTTTATTTTGAAATCTCTGTGGCACATCACATCCTTAGTCTTTTTTAAGAAAACACATTGACCACACGGAGGGTATTAAGGTAATTTCGCCCAACCACTTTTCTTTCTCTGTGCAGTTGGCGCAAATTTTCTGCAACTCTGGAGAATCGTGAACGTCCAAGCGCAGTTCACACAGTGGCCAGCATATCTCCGAGCGCATTTACAGCCCAACACCGCTAGCGCCTCCTCTCTTTTTTACCGTTGTTCGTGCTTTTCTCCTTGAACAGTAGCTTGGTCGTACAGCAGCTCGCCGGAAATCTGAGGTATTATTTCGAGTTCTTTATTTTTCCGGCGTTTTTCTTTGATCGACGGAGACCCCCTTTTGGGGCTTTAGTGACGGCGCTTGTTTTAAGTTTGTCCGTTTCGTGTTAGAACGTGGTGTAGTACTTTAGTTTCTCGCTTATTAATGCCGGTGCTATTTCGTGCCATCGTGGAGCCGGAGCAAATGGGATGTTTTTGTGTGTGAGGATACGTTTGTATAGAAGGATCGTAGCCTAAGGTTTTATCTTTTTGCTCCTCGTTTGTTTTGGCGCTGTTCGTGCTTTTCTACTTGAACAAATAGCTGATGTACAGCAGGTCGCCGGAAATCTGAGGTATTGTTTGGATTTCTGTATTCTCCGTCGTTTTTCTTCGATTGACGACGAACCCTTTTTGGGCATTAGCGACGGCACTTGTTTGGAGGTCGTCCGTTCGTGCTAGCACGTGACTTAGTTGCTTTCTTACTAGAGCCCGTGCTATATTTCGTGCATCGTGGAGCAAATGGGCTGTTTTTGTCTGTGCAAAGTTTTTTTCCTTTTCCATTTTCGAGTACCTTTCTTCTTTTTGTGTATTACTCCGTGTTGATTGCATGGTCCGATAGAGATGGGTGTTGGACATGGTGGATTGGGTTGTATCTGAAATTCTAAATCAATTTTATTTTCATTTTGCCCACGTTATGCGCTTTTGCAGGGATCCATCAAGTCGGTTCTCGTCAAGCTTCGGCATTTGTGCTCCTCATGCTTGACATGAGATCTGTTTTCTCTGTGTGCAGTTAAATTTTTTTTCAGGCTTTACAGTCAAAATGAATGTTGAGACCTTAGGGCTGGATTTACAAAATAACTAGCTGTCCTATATGTGTAAATGAATGTTGAGACCTTAACTGTTGACAAGAAGCTTCAGATTGCACAAAAAGTTGATTTACACTTACAGTTGAGACCATAAACGTCCTTAGTAATTTCTACTTTTCTGTTTTTCTGTAGATTGAGTTGTAAGGTCTATGTTTACTTGTGTAGTGTGTGTCTGTATTCATGATCTCTCTGTATCTTTCATTTATGTTTCCAGATGGTGAAGGGGAAGAAAAATACAACTGGCAACCTGAACAACAATGATGTCTCTTGGATCTCCAGTGCTTACCCTTCTGCTAGAAATCTGAAAAGGGAAGATCTTGGGGCAGTGATTTTTGGATGCAAGCATCACACTTTCAACGAGTGCATAAACAAGAAGATTTTTGGTTTGCTCTCTGCTTGGCATACTGGTTTTAGTTTACTTTTATGTTAATGTATCTATTTTCGCGGCTTATTGACTTATGGTAACTTTCTTGACATCATGACCAGGATTGCCAGCTGCACACCATTCATACGTGAAGAACATCCCGATTGGCCTTACATTGTTTCTCTTTAACTACAGTGACCGAAAGCTTCATGGTATCTTTGAGGCCAGTTCCACGGGGCAGCTGAATATGGATAAATACGCGTGGACAGCTAGCGAGGGTGCTGATATTACTCCTTACTCAGCCCAGGTAAGCAATGAACCGTTATATGTACACAATTATATCATGAATTGCATTGACTATCTACATTACATTATAGTTCTTCTCCTTCAGGTTCGGGTGGATGCTCGAAGGATGTGCCGGCCTTTACTCGAAGAGGAATTCAAGCCGTTGATAGAGAAAAATTACTATACGGAGAAGCTTTTCAGGTTTGAACTGGACAGAAGACAGGCCGATCGCCTGATCAAACTATTCTTGCAATCACCTTTGCCCGAAAAGTCGCAAATGCCTCCTCCTCGGCAATTTCCAGCTAGGCAGGCCAACACAAAAGATGATGCCATATTATGCCCCAACAGAAAAGTGGACCCACATAAGGAGTTTAAGAATCAAGAATCAGGAAATTATTATGCTCCTGCCCTTTCCACTGTAGATGCACCTTCTAAAGAGAGAAAATGGACAGATTTCTTCAGACCCTCCACATCTTCGTGTAACGAATCAAGGGATACCGCTGTGGAAACTTGGCCCAGCTCAGAAAATGCTGAGTGCGAATCGGATGTCGTGGATAACTGGGAAGAAGAGGACATGGCAGGTCATGATCCACAAGAAGTATGTGAAAAGGCCGAAGTGCTTTGGGATGGAATTCCCCCCGTGCCTGCAAGGCCCCTCTATTCAGAATCGCAGTTCCACACTGATCCAAATGCGCAGTTACACGAGCTGGAGGCCGAGAGGGATGGCCCGAGGAGCGTGCCTTCTCAGTCTGGTTCAACAGATAGGGCCCTTGTGGAGAGTCACAATTCTTTGTCAGGAGGAATGCTTACAGGTGCACCATCGTCAGATTTTGAGGCTGTGATCATCAAGGTATGTTTTGAGCCCTCTCTGTCAAGTTAAGACTTGGGTAGTATTTTAATCACATTTATGGCAATTCTCTCATTCAACTCTTGATTTTATTTTTTATTTATTTTTTTTTTCTAACGATGTACAATGAAGATGAAAGAAGAAATTGAAAGCTTGAAGGTTGGCCAGTTAGATCAAAGGTTAAAAATGCATTCTCTTGAGCAGGAGTTGGTAAGCTAATCTTTCCACTTACATATATCGTAGTCTAGGATTTTGATCTGTGATTGTCGGATTTCTTGACAGTGCTCGTGACATTCTGCGCCATTCATTCTTCTTCTTTCTTTCTTTTTTCTTCATTTTTTTTTTCTTTTTTACTTTGTATGATGGACTAAAATCTTGAATGAAACACCTAAATGTAGGTTCAATCGAAGCTAGAAATCATCCAACTGAAAAACAGGTTTCACAAGTTAGAAACCATGACATCATCTCGTTTGCGGGATTAGGGTCGGTCTTGATTGCAACTCGTTTGCAGAGGTGTGAAATGGGGTCACGCGCGTGACGACTAATTATACATTGTCATATGCTCGGGAATACATTGAATCCCTTGCGCATGTTTGATTATAGGTTTTTACTATTACCATCGCTTGTGACTCCAATTATTGATTACTTTGTTTGAGAACACTTGCTAACTAGACTTTCAAGTGTAGTGTATAATAAGTGTTTGATGGTTGTTTGAGTGATAATTTGATAGATCATCCATTGAAATAGCAATTTTGAAGAATGGATGATATGAAGTTGTTGAAAGAAACTCTCAAACATATTGAATGGAAGTTTGTAAAGAAACTCTCAAACAAACAATGAATTATTATTCAACATTACCTTTATTGTGATTGTATTTTCATTGCCTACAAAGCTTCTTGATTTACAGGTAAGCAATAATACAGTCCCTTTTGGTATATTTCACTGTGAATGTTTGTAATTTAAAACAAGACAAACTCCTTTAATTGATTAGAAAACTTTGCTTTTTTCCTATGTAATAGTTCAAACTAGTACAAAGCCCGTGAATTACACGGGTGTTTCACAAAAAAACTAATTGTCCAACAAAAAGTGAAAAATAATTGAAATTCTTATTGTAAAATAAAAAAAAATATAGATAATTAATAAGAATGTAATTTTTTAAATATTATTTCGAATTCTAGAAATTGTTTTTTTGAAGTATTAATTGTTTTATTTAATTTATATTAATTTTTGTGAAAATTAAATATAACAATTAATTTATAAGCAATTAATATAATGCCCGTGAACAATACGAGTGCTTGAAAATAAAATATTTTTGCAGAATAAAGAAGTGAGAAATTTATATTATAATAGAATGATAAAATATAAAAAATACAACAGATAATTATAAAATAATAACGTTTATTATTTGAAATAATAACCATGTTTTATGTCAATTTGTCAAAATGGTAATGTTTTGAACCACACCTACACATACATACACACATATATATTATTTACAACATAATAATTTAATTTTATTAATTTACTTATTTTCAAGTTTGATTATATTGTAATTATATTTTATATTTATACAATTTTTTCCCTATCTAATAGTTTTTAAAATATCTTTAAATTTATAATACAAAATTTTAAATATAATGTTTATGAGATACTTATGAAATATAATAAATATTTTTATTATTCTAATTATAATATTTATTTAATTTTTTTCTTCAAGATCATTATAATGATCAATCTCTATGTAGTCTTTATTTGAGTTGAGACATAAACATTATAATATTTTCTTTTATATTAATTTGATGTTCATAGTCAGTTTACATATTTTTTTTTATCTAAATAAAATATCTATTTTATAATATGTTAACGCACATAAATTTCTATTAATTTATAATATAATTTATAGTTTTATTTGATATTCTGTAATTTAATTTAATAATTAGATTTATTTTTTTTAAGGATATATATATATATATCAATATTTTGTATTTCATATATATAATATGGATGTCAAATAGAAGATCGTTAAAAAATAATTAATTTGATATATCATATATAAAAAAAAATACAAACAAAAAAAGTTATAAATTTAAAATAAGAATAAGAAACATTTATAATAGTTGATGTATCAATTAAATAAGAAACCTAAATGTAATATATGATAATGTAGGAAAAAAAAAAACATAAAATAGTTTATGGTAATTAATTGTAGAAGAAAATAAGGAGAAAAGCAATCATATTTAATATGAATAATATAGACATCAAATAAAATCCAAAACTAATTATTTTTACACGAAAAAAAATATTAATTTATATCTAAGTCACATAAGATTCCGACGCGAGAGTCTGTCAATTACGCTCAACGCGGTAATTATATGTATGGTGATGGTGAATTCATATCTTAAATCAGAAAAAACGTAAAAAGAAAATCAATTCCAAAAAGATGTTTTGTTTTTCACCCAAAAAAGTAAGGTAATTTTTTTTTTTTTTTTTTTTTT